CCGGATTCGGTGGGTGCTTCTCGATCACATCTCCTGGCTGGTCCACAGCCCAGGGCCTTGTTGATGGAGACGGGCAGTTGCAAGCTCCTTCAGAGGGTGGAGATGAAGCTCTCAAGTTAATTCTTCTCATTCAATAGGGGCTTTTGTGAGCATCATCTTTAGCATGGTCTTGGGAGCCGCCATCCCTTCAAGAAGCCCAGGTTCACAAAATCTCTTTGTAAAGTGTACAGACATCCGTAAGTTTATCCGTAAGTCACATATCTTTCTTCAGATAGGAAGTAAATGGCTTCCACTATTCCATCTTCAAACCAACCAAGACAGAAATCTTAAATAGAATTTAAACCCCACAAGGAAGCAAAAGTATTAAAATGAAGCCCAAAGAATTTTTTTCTTTTCTTTTCTTTTCCTTACACCCACACCTTGAACATATTCCTTCACCTGTGTAATTTTCTTCCTAAGCACACATTTCTTACAATGGCTGATAAGTGTCTCCACCCCTGACTATGACCATATCAAAAAGCATAGTGTCCAGATTCCAGAAGCTTCTTGGCTTCCAACATGGGAGCTTTCTACTCTTTTCTTTCCAGAAAGGTTTGAACATAACTTTCCGGAAGAGAGAATACATATCTTCAATTCTATACAATTTTAGAAAGTGAACAATAGAAACTATTCACTGATTGGTTTTACTGATGAAGCCAGTAAAGATAAGTGCTGATAATACAATAGTAGCGTGGTGCTGTTTGGGATGACAAAATCAGTCTATCGGTTTGCTCTGTGATCTCCTGTCAAAATAATCTGCCAGACTGTCCTTGCTTTGCTACCAGCCTTCCCCAAGAGAGCACCATGCCGAAAGGTCATAGTGTAGCCACAGGATCCTGGCAACACCATATCTAGCGTTCATTGGAATTCATCTTAACCGGCTGGGGCTGCTGAACAAACCACCATACCTGAGGGCCTTAAACAACAGACCTTTACTTCTCACAGTTCTGGAGGCTGGAAGTCCAAGGTCAAGGGCCAGCAGCTTGTGTCTGGTGAGGGATTCCTCCTGAGTCACAGATGGTCACCTTCCAGCTGTGTCCTTACATGGTAGAAAGAGAAAACTGAGAACCCTTAACCTCTTGGTAAGGACCTAATCCCATCACGGGGGCTCCCCCCTCATGGCCTCTTGTGGACCTAATCACCCCCCAGACGCCCCACCTGGAAACACCATCTCCTCAGGGGTTATAGGGCTTTAACCTGTGAATCTGAAGGGGACACAAAATTCATTCCAAAGTATCATCCATTAAAAAAAGATCTAAAAGACTCTGGTATAATCCAGTCAATCCTTAGCTTCATGAGTTCTAAATATATGTGTGAAATTCTAAATTCCTGTAAACAAGACAATGAGTAAAAGGAGTTTTAATGCTAGAACTATAACTCTCTGGTGTTTTTTCTGTCATTTTTTCAGAAAACATATTTTTCTGGTATGTAATGACACGTGAATGACTTGCATGAAGTGTAATGTGAACATTTAAGTAACACCTTTATAAATTGAGAACTACTAGAAGTTTTGCACATTTTGTTAAAATATAACAAAGGAAAATAAGAATGTGCACAAAGTTGAGGAACAAGTATTTAACTCAAGCATGAGGAGTGAAACTGAGCCAGAAGGGACATTTTCACTGAAAATTTTCCCCAAGCTGGAATAAAACTCTCTTAAACCACAAATGCCTCTCTCCTTTTCCTTGCCCTTGATCTGATCTCTGCTTGATTTTTAAACCTCATCATGATAGATGAAGATACATAAACATATACACACACTTACGTGTTTGTGTGTGTGTCACAACTTGGCAAGAATGCCCATAACACAGTTGAAAATACTCTGCCAGCACGGCCCCTGCTGGTTTCTTGGGAATGCTCTGTCGCTTAGATTGCGTCCTGTCTTTATTACGAAGAGACCTCTCTCTCCTGACTTGATGACATTTCCTCTTTCTATATTTTTTTCATATTTCAAGCTTTTCGAGAACTTTGGATAATATGCCCTCAAGACAAAGTTCCGAACAAACACAGTTTGCATAAGGCTTATAAATTTGACCCTGTATTCTTAGGACTAAATAGCTACATGCTCTGTGTTTTGACTTAAAGATTTAGGTACTGCTTGCTTTCAGCCCAAGAGCCGGTTGTGTAGCAATTTTAGAACAGATGTGTCTTGTATGTAGATTTACAAGTGACATATTTCCACTCTGGTGAAAGAGTTGCATATCCCATGATTTCTCATGGATCTTTACCCTAGAAGAAAGTTTGGAATGTGCACAACTCTTAACACTTCTGTCCCATCCTGCTGTCACCAGTGCATTATAGCCAGCCCTGTGGATGCTAATTCCCAAGGCAACATAATGATGTCAAGTAGATTAACACAACTCTTAAAGATGACTTCTGGTCTCTTTATAGGTGATAAAAATCTATTTTCCATGAACAATCAATAACTCTTTCCCTATTAACTCAGTAAAAGTTTGAATAAAGTATCCAGATAAAGGCCAGATACACTGACTGACTTTGAAATAATTCTTTTTTCTTCAGTGTGGACATCCCAGTGTGCCATCAACATTCTGAAATAGCAGAGGGTCCCCTTTGAACTTCATTTCTAGTTGCCATCAAAGATTAGCCATATTCACATAGGTTTTACTTTTATTTCCTTCAGATTCTCTGTAGCCATTAAGAAAGGACTGCAATAAAAGGTATTTAAGAGCTACATAGATCACATGTCAGAGCTGAAGAAAATTGTCCACTGACTTAGCCATTTATCCTGTTTTACTGCACGGAAGTTAAAAAGGAGAACAAGGTGAACCCCAAAAAATGATAACACAGTTGCGTTATATAGTTTGGCCATCATATTCGTAATGGGTATGCAAACACTACTCCTGTATGCCTCCTGCTGTTACATTAGCTCTTACATGAGAGAGAAATTTTATCCATGTTGAGTTCTGAATTTCATAGTCTGGTTTTTCTGAATATTGTTAAATCTTTATATGAAAATGATAGCTTAAAAGTTTAAGGAGATGACCAATACAAAATGAAAAAAAAAATACAAATGAAATGATTTTCCATTTCCTGTTGCGCTAGCAGATGGATTAAATACTGCAAGCCAGCTTCCTTTGAGAAGTCAGTATTACCCCTGCTTCATCACCTAAGCCAGCAAACCTACAGAATGACTGGTCTCTTCCTTCTGCTCTCTTTCTATGCAAGGAAGTTGGCTCACTCCCTCAAATGATGAACCAGGAGCAATACGACAAGGCTTGTTCACTTTCAATTTTGTTTTTTGTTTTTTTCTAAGTGACAAGCTGTGCACGGGTGCAAAGTCTTCTTTGAACAGGTTAGAGGTGGCTTTGGTTAAAAAAAAAAAAGAACAAGATTCCCTCATTGACAGTCTTTGTTGTAGTTGAAATTGAGTGATGCTGTCAATGAGCATGACCTTCGATGGGATGTCCAGCATCTGTGTGGGGGATGTTATTCATCTCTGAGTTTTAGCCTTGACTTAAGCTAATAAGCCATTATCACAATTGAGAAAAAGGAGGCATGAGTTTTTGCTTTTTCTCTTGGAAAATGAATTATGACATTCTTGAAGTTACTTGTAACAGGTAAATAACTACATTATCTTTATCGATACTGCATTTTTATGTTACAGGGATATGAAGTAAGCCTCTATTTTTTTTCCAGCAAAAGTTTTAGAACTAAGGAAATTGTGTAAGTTCTATATTTTGAAATACAGGTGTGATTTTGTATTTATACACATATGTACACACATAAATAAGTGCATGTATATAAAATATCTGCAGGAGTGTTTAGTATATGTCACTTATACTGTATTTATCTTAGATAGCCATTAATAAACATAAGAAATGAAATACTTAATACCTCCTCCCTAAAATTATAAAGGATTATTTCATTTTACTGTGATTGTTTTCAAAAGTGAAAATGGGAATATTTTCCCTAAACATAGGGAAACTTCATTTCTAACCTCACTATACTCATGGCTTTATTTTTCACAAAAGACAAAGGCTATGTGTGGTCAAAGATCAGATTCATTATCATAATTTTTAATATTTTTTAAATTATAAGAGTAATAGAACATACTTTGAAATGTAGAGAAAAGAAAGATAAACATTTTACTAATAAGTTTTTATGATCAGTACATGTTTTTTGTGAAGCATTTTACTTGGTATAAAGTGTAAGCTCCACATTGCTTTGCCTCCTGCTTTGTTCATTTAACTTTTATCGTAATCGTTTGTCCAAGTTGCTGCATGGTTTTTGTAACTATCATCTTCAGTGGTCTATTGATACTCCTTTGTGCAGTAAGCCATAATATTTAAACCATTTGTAATTACTTTTTAATTACACATTCTCCTGTTAATTCGTTAGATTCAATTCAGAGCTCACAACTATCAGAATTGCTCTAAGACCTAGATTTGCCTAAAGCTATGTCCGTGCACCTAATAATAGCAATTTTCTCCCTTTTGCTCATTCTGTCATTTGTTTGATGCCCATAGGGGCAGTGATAAAACTCAAAATCAAACAAATATGCATTTTATAAATTATATGGGAATTTATCACAGTTAACACTTATGCATAAGAAGTGAGGGCATTTGACTGTTACTATGATGTTATGTTGATAGTATGCTTAACTGTGAAATAAGCTCCCTTGATCTGTAGCCTTCTTCTACCCTGTCCACTCCAAATTAATCCATTTCTTCTGCTTCCTTCCTATAGCAATGTGCTAGAATGGTTCTCAGGAAGCCCATCCATTCCACTGCCATTTACATTCACTCATGGATATTCCCTGGAGCCCTCAGTGGGGCCTTTCCTATTGGGATGGCTAATGCATTATCCCACATGCAGTAGCTATTGACCAAATGTTACAACACCCTGCTTTTGTTTTCGTCTGTAATGTTTGCAGAAGACAGTACTGGGATTATTAAATATTGGGATGTTAAAGATGTTTACTCTCATTTTTCTTCCACCAGTGGGATGGAGTAGGACCTCTTCCAGACTGTGCAGAACCACCAAAAGGGATCCAGATGCTGTGGCACCCTTCAATAGTCAAACCCTACCTCACGCTGCTCTCTGAGTGCTCAAATGCAGACACGCTGGAAGGGGCGGCAGGCGCCCTGCAGAACTTGGCTGCAGGGAGCTGGAAGGTATGACTAGTTCATTACAATAAAAAAAGAAATCTGCAATTATGAGCACGTCCTTAGAAAGTAATAGAAACCCAGTTTTGAGAATGCAATTCTAATGCAGCTTTTGAGGTCATTAAAGACCAGTTACATTGAGATGTTGACTTAGAAAAGTGTATCCCATTTAAAAATTCTTCCTAAGGGCTCAGGATCCTTAAAGATCACTACAAACCACCGGCTTTTTTCTGTCCTATTTGTGTAGCTGAGCTACTTCATTTTCAGTGGAGACTGACACACTGATGCTTTTCAAAGCACTCTGGTTGACTGTTAAGGGAGCTTATACCCAAACACCTTGTGTAAAAGTCCATGTGAACTTCTATCATGTTGTAGCTGGTCTTGTCCCCATAGGAAAAGAACGGCATGCATTTTTAAATTACAGGATTACAGAGAAGAGTGTTGCTAGTTGTCTATAGCAAAAATGTTAAAGTAAAGTAAATGTATAATAGGAATGGAGATTAGGGGAGCCTTTTCTCTGAATCCAAATTGTTCCTGATTAGTTCCCACAGAAAGCTTCTGTGACCCTCATTGTGGGTACAAAGGGATTCACCATAGCAAAGAATTCTTGAGTCTTGCCACTGATGGTTTCATGAGTTGATTTGTCTTATTGCATAAGAAGTACACCTTAGAAGAATAAGAGCAAATGGGGAAAAGACCAAGAGGAAGTTTGGACCTCTGCCATTTTCCATTCATTTAATATCAAAACCTGGGGTTTGGGTATGCATAAATCACTCTTTTCTTGAACATTAATTTTCTTCAAAACAGTGTTAATGTAGACACCAGCTACAGGTAATCCTTAGGAGCTCAGTGCCATAGGCCCACCATACTGACCTCAGCACTGTCATCTAACTACACCCTCCCTTCTTATCACACCTGCCAGTGTCGGCCTTTCTGTCATCTCTCTCTCCCTCTGTCATCCTTTTTCCTATTGCTACAGTTCCAGCTGCAGCCCCACTTTCTGTCTCAGGTGTGACATCTCAGCTCTTGGGCCCCATCCCTGACAATACTTCCCAGGAACTGGCTACTGTTCCGGGATCAGGCCCACCCCTTCTTTGGGGGAATCTTCAGAATAATCATTGTCCCTTTCCTCCCTTGCCCACAGGCATCCCTAATGTTGTACTGCAAGAATTCAGGTTGGGCGAGGCCTGAAGTGAAGTTGTGTCTTACTTTCAAACAGAGAAAAGCTCCAAAAGTAGAATCACACCAGACAGAATTCCAGAAGCTTTGCATGCCAGGGAAAGGGACAACAGTGGAAATCCTTAGTTAACCCTTAGGTCTTATCTCTCACTAAATTTAGGAGGCTCTGACTCAAATACAATTTAAACCTGGCCCTGTCTTTCCTGAGGTTTGGGACCCTGAGCAAAATACAGCAGCTTATTATGTTAGACGTGTCATCCTCAAAGGGAGAAGACTGCAGCTCTTCACATCACATCATGACACTGGATGCAAAGAGGGGCAGGATGTCATAGGCCAAGGGTTGTCATAATGTTTGGCCAAGAGTTCTTCATTGCTGTGAGTCCCCACTGCCCCCCTGCCCAGGAGGACTGACTCGGTGGGCATGGGAAGCTGGGCTCTGGGCTGCAGGCACGAGTCTAACCTGAGGCACACAGCCACCTGGAGGGTGGCAAAGCAAGTGTGCCATCTTAAAATATGTTTTAATGAATTATGACTTTTCTTGAGAAATACTTAGGTTCTTATCATAACAATTTAAAGGTGGGGAAATGCCTGAGCTCTAGAAAATTTTGAAGGTTAAGACAACAACTTTTGCTCTATAAGTTAAACTTTATATTCTGTATATTCCAAAAGTGAATTAGAAACATGGGAGACATATTAGTGACCCAAATGACTGTTCTGGAGTTTAAAGTACAATGTTTGAAAAGAAAAATACCTCGAAATGGGATTCACAGCCTATCAGACATTGCAGAAGAAAAGATTCTAGTGTATTGGAAAACCATGCAGAATGAAACAGAGAAAAAAGAAAAAAGTACAGTGTAACAGTGAGCTTCAAGCAGCCCAAGGTGTGTGTAATTGGATCCCCAAATGAGAGGAGAAAGGAAAAGGGAACAGACAAAAGTTTGCAAGGAAATAATGATCAAAACTTTGGCAATTTAAAAGTTTTAAAGAAAGTTTTTAACCATTATTGCCTCAAAAACTTTGCAAATTTAAGGAGACACCATAAACTCCTAGATCCAAGCAGCTCAAGGAACCCAAGCACAAGAAATATGAAGAAATTACACTAAGGTGCATTGCAATCAAATTGCTCAAAATCATTAGTAAACAGAAAATCTTTAAAGTAGAGGAAAGAAGAAATGTTCTGTATGGAAGAACCACACCACATCTAAACACCAAATTTAAGGATCAGTATCACCAGTTATTCATTTATTCACATGAGTCCTTATTAACTAAGCTACTAAGAATGTCCTCTAGAAAGGGATCTAATCTGTAAGCTTTCTAAAGGCAGAAGTCAAGCCTCATTTATTTGCTTGGCTGAGAGAAAATGCTCAGGCTCGAGAACTGAACTGATGTAGCATTAACACCCATGTATCTTTTGTGTGGACAAACAGTCTTTTACAATTATAAATATCTATCAGCCACTAAGCAGTTAATAGCACGTACTATGATCACACCATCTTCAGATGCTCACATTTTATGAGTTTTTGTTTGGTTCTTTGATTCAGACAAGAGCATATTGTCAATATGCTACAAAAGTGATAGAAGGGAGTTGTAAGTAGACCATTTTCTTTTCAGCTTCCAGACTTACCAGTGCTTGAAGGCTGCACATTTGGATAGCATTGCCCCACTCTACAGTTCCTGCAGGGTAGACATTTCTGCTTAAATTAACAGGCTGTGTGGCTCAGAGGTAGCCAGGTCTGCTGGGAGAGCCACTGAGATATGTCTAGGTTTTGAGGTGTTTGGAGTAAGAAAATGATAAGATTAGAAATCTTATACTGTTCTGATATTCAAAATTTTTCTCCTGCTTTGTTTGGGTTTTATAATTAGAATTATGGAGGATGCATGATAGGAGCTTTCGGTATTATCTGGCAGTAGTAGCTTGCTGACTGTTTTTAGTACACAGACCTTTACACTAGTTCAGCAGTTATACCCTGTGTGAAATTTAACCCCACGTATCCAGATGATATTTATTTGATAAATTGTTCTATTACTAATAAAGGCAAGGCTACTAAGAAGGAGGCCGAAGGATCTTGAGCAGATAAAATCAACATCATGGAATCTGTTCCATATTTTAGACAGTTTAACAACTCTGAGCGTCAGATTTCCCAGTCTGCATCAGATTTCAAGCAATATGTAAAAATGTAACACATGGCTCTTCTAAGCAGGCACACAGATTTGCTGTAAGAAGGGAAAGTAAATACACTGATGGCAAATTAAAAAGAAGAGTTAGGAAAAGTAGATACAAGGATGCAAGAAAGAAAAACTGTCAGAGGCTTTTCAATAGCTTGGCTGTTACATATATTCTAAAAACTGCTAGTCATAATGCTGACCTCTGTCATTAGGAAAATGTGAAATTATTACTAGTAATTTCAGAAGGCAGAAAGCATTTTAGAAAGATTTCATTTCCAATGGCTGAAGCAGAATTTTGAATCTCAGTATGTCAGCCTTACTTAGAAACAGCACTGACCCTCCTAATAACTCCAGACACATGGCATAGTTCTCAGGCAGGACAAGGGGATGCTAAAGAATATATTTGTGTGTAATTAAAAATATATGTATTTACATAAGAGCTTTCTTATCAAAATACAAATACACAAGCAATCATAAAATTAAAATCACATCATCACCATCTATTGTCTAATTTATTACTTTACCATATTAAATGATAAGCGAATGTGTAGGAAGGGCAAATAGACAACCCTAGGGATGATTTGAGAAGATTATCATTAATCCAAACACTGATAAACTGTCACAATCTTATTTAAAAGATTGAGAACTTGTACAAAAACCAAATAGAGAAATCCTTACTTTAAAAAAAATTTGACTTAAGAAAAAATCTTGAGTAATTAGAAGATTGATTCAAGATACACAACAATATCAAGTTTCATGCACAGACAGGGTTACCACATGAAATCTAGATTCTAAGAATGTGTGTTTGGAGCAACTGTTGAAATTTAGTGGCACTTTTTAGTGTCCTTAACCTTTTATGACCCAAACAAAAGCAGAAATGTGAAAGCAGAAGACCAGAATTTTGCCTGGAGACAGCCTTTCATAGACCACATTATCTGAAACAATAACTTCTCTTTAGAGAAAGTTCATGCACACTGTTTTTTGGTAACAAATTAGCTAGTGCACTGAATCTTCACAATGACCCTCAACACTTTTTAACCCTTTAAAGACTCATTACTTGATTCATGAGCATCAGAAAAACAGAAGAGTATTATTGCAGAAGCAAAATATTTTTCACAGCCAACATGATTTCCGTGACCTTTTTCTCATTTACGGTACAATGATTTTGTTGGTCACAGAATATTTAAACAATTGAGCTTAAAAGGTTGGAGATTTCCAGTATGAATGAATGCTCTTTCAACTTCCATTTATGGGTTATTTCTATTGTAATTGAACTTTGTGAAAACCCAAGGTTTAAACTATAGACATATATCAGCACTCGCTTTAAACCAAACATTCTAGATATATTTGTATAGTCAGTTTTCCCCCCAAAATATGACTATTCATGATAGCCTCTTTGAGAATAGTCACACTAGGGTGGGGAGGGGGTGGAAAGAGTCTATCATATGTCCATTTACTTTTAAAATAAGGTAGAATAAAGAGACACTTGGGTATTAATTAATATTTAGCACAGTAACATGAGTGCAACATAGACATAGTGAAAAAGGAAATAGCATCTCTGTCAATGTAGCAAATGAATAAAAAATAAGAGAACTGGGAAATTTGAGACTTGCCCATAAAGACAAGACAACAGCCTGGAGAAGGCACTGAATTTAGTGTAGCTT